TTCAACTCCACCAGCATCTCCTTAGGAGAAATACAAGCAATCTCCTTCAGTGCTATCGAGTTGATTTCAACTTATAGCAACCCTATTGGACAAAGCAGAACAGACCTACAGGATTTGGAGGCTAGAGGGTCAGTCCAACTCCATGGCATCAAGTATGAGAATGACTACTTACGGCGGCAAACTGCCACATCTTTCTCCTATTGCATGAGTGGTGGGTTCAAATTGTCAAATTTTCAGTTAATGACGGGGCTGTGAGTAAATTTAGATCTTTAGAGAAATCTTTAGAGGAACCAAGTGGAGCTCTGATAGCCTAGTGGCAAGATGCTGTGCTGCAATCCTGAAGGCATACAGTCCAAATCCAGGATGGACAATCTACTTCCATGCAAATAACTGAAAACCTGATGGAAGGTCAGCTATTGGTTGGTTCCGACTCCATGGTACACAACAAGGAATGGGAAACTCATCATTGCTATCAAAAGCTGGAAATACTCAGTAATGGCTTGAGTGGAAAATGCAGTCACTAGCTTGAACAGCTCTGCTGTCCATGCTGTCAATTGTGTTTTATTAAACAGCTCATATGAGGTGTTTTTCTTGGGACAAGATGGGTGGTTCTTTGGCTATGACAATCTCAGTTATGTGTCTGCTTATAGGAGACTGATGGTGCGATAAGGTGATTTGATTGCTAATAGAAAGGTTCGTAGTTTGAACTCAACCAGTGACAAACAGGGCCAAAAACTTGGTGATCTGCTTCTGTAAAGATTTCATGCCAAGGAGCCCTGTGGGACAGTTCAACTGTGACCTATAAGATTGCTATGAGTTGAAATCCACTCAAGGCACCCAACAAAAAGAGCTGTTGTCCTTGGAGAAGAAAGGAGACCAGAACCCTGAGTGAGTGTGTCGCAGCATTTGAGACCTCCACAATGGGCTCTTCAGTGATAAAAGGCCCTGCACATATTGGAGGGACTGTGTGCCAGTGACATCTGTGCTGATGCCAAAGTTATCACCTGAAAAAACAGCCCCAGGGTCTACGTGCTACCTATGCAGAGTATCTAACAAAGTTTTGAATTGAGATCTCCCCCCCCACCCCAAGGCTAAGGGGCCTCTGTTTTATAGACAGTCCCTGGTACTTTCAATGTGTGGGTGGTTTACTTCTAAATGTCCAGGGGAACCAAGCTATGCTAGTGAGTACCTTGGGTAAGCCTGTCCCAGGGGAGATAGAAAAATTAAAAAGATTAAAAATGCTTGGTGTTATTATTAAAGAATAAAGAGAACTGGAAAAATCACAAAGAGTTGGATATGATACTGAATCTTCAAGTGCTTCCAAGGATATGACTTTAACTCTGATCTCATTTCCTTGGACTTATTCTTCCCACAGCCTTTTCTGCAGCTTCCTCAATGTGCCTAATGCAGTCCTACCCTGGGCCCTTCACTCCTGCTGTCAATGCACTAACTCATGGTATTACTCCTGGTCTTCCTTCCTTACCAGATCAACAGAAACCTTAGAAAAGTTTACAGTCAATTTTAAAACATGACAAAAATAATTGCAATTTGCTTGCGTGCAGTATTTCTTAGATGATATGACTACTCTCAACATATTTTCCCCCCTCAGCATACAGATTGAATAGATGTGGAGAAAATATACAACCCTGAGGCACACATTTCCTGATTTTAAACCATGCAATGTTCACTTGTTCTGTTCAGACAGCTGCTTCATGGTCTATGCATAGGTATTTTTAATTCCTTTCCATGCATCTGAATGTTGGGCAATGAATAAGAATGACTGAAGAAGTGATACCTTTAAATTGGGGTGTTGGCAAAGGCTATTGAATATCTCGTGGGCTGCCCAAAGAACAAACAAGTCTGTCTTGAAGGAAGTACAACCAGAGTGCCTCTTAGAGGCAAGGATGCTAAAATTTCATCTGAATTATTCTGGGCATATTTTTCAAAAGAACCAGTCTTTAGAGAGAGAGATCATGTTAGGAAAGGTGGAGAGGTAGAGAAAAGAAGGAAGATCCTCCCTTAACTGCAAAGACACAGTGACCACCACAATGCACTTGTGGAAGACAGAGATTGTGAGCATGGTATAGGTTAGGACAAGGTTCAGGTCTGTTATTGTTCACAGCATTGCCGTCAATCGTGGGTGACTTGATGACTCCTAACAACACAACAACAACAAAATTATAATATCATTTTATATTAAAAGATAACATGTGTGTGTGTGTGTGTGTGTGTTTCCTTTTCTCCTTTATCCTCCCTTCACTTACTACATCAAAAATTAGTGATGTGGTGGTGTTGTGTACCATCTAGTCAGAACTGACCCATAGCTGACCCTCTAGTAGGTTTTCAGAGGCAGTTAATCACATGGGAGGAGATTGCTCATCCTTTTCCCTCGAAGCAGCTGGTGGATTTGAACTGTATGCCTTCATGCTTGCACCATAGCTTCTTACCACTAAGGTTTATAAATACTACTTAGCACAATATTGTCAATAAAATACCGGAAAATTTGATGTTAACCACTATGAAAATGCTGCCTGCAATGCATACCAGAGAGAGTGTGCATGCACATGAAACCATAAGATTTGAAGCATCATTGTATTTGTGTAATAATGAAGGTGCTAAAATCAATCATCATAGAGATTTAGCCATAAGTGTATTGATACATGTAATGTATTGTGTATAAAAAAATGGGCTTATAAAAAATGCTTTTGTTAACTAAATAATTAACTAATTCTTCCTGAAACAAAAGACAGAAACCAAAACAAACAAACTCACAGCTGTTAAGTTATTTCTGACCCACAGAGACCTTCCATCCAGTCACAGAGGCTGTAAATCTTAATGGGAAGAGATTGCACATGTTTTCCTCACAGAGATGCTGTTGGATTTGAACTAACAAACTCTTGGTGATAGAGCCCTGGCAGCTGAGTGCTAAGAAGCTACATTGCAATCCCAAAGATACACAATTTCAAATCCACCAGCTGCTCCATGGGAGAAGGATGGACACTCTCCTCCCATGTGATTAACTGTCTCCGAAAATCCACTGGAAGATCAGCTATGAGTTGGTGACAACTCAATGATACAAAACAATGACTTCCTTTGTGGAATCTGGGTACTTTATGGATTACACCATCATGGCTTCTTATGACTAACCAGAGAAATAGGATTTTAAAAATTTTTTTAAAATTAATTTTAATGAACATTTACAGAGATTTTGGATTTCCATACATTCATTGTTGCATTTTTCTCTCTGACCACCCCTTATTTCATTGGTATAGAATCCCACCCCCCGACCCCGCTGCCCCTGGTACACTCCATTATGCAGCCTTCATTCTGGACTCTTGTCATAGCCATAATACCCAATCGTATATTGCTTTCAAACAGTCCTCCCCCTCATCTGTTTCAGTGCAGTATTTATAATTTATCCATTTTTTTTTTCTCAGTCTCACTCCAAACCTAATGTCAGTCCTGTTCTACAATAGTGGCACCATGATACTAACAAGCTTCTGCTGAAATGTTGCACAAAAGTTCTATAGCTAATCATGGGCAATCTCCTCTCCTGCGATTAACTGCCTCTGAAAATCCACTAGAGGGTCAGCTATGGGTCGGTTCTCACTTGACGGTACACAACAACAATCGTTTTGGTATCACCCCTTTTGACAGTGCTACCCAGTACATACCTTGTGCATTTCCCTGTCATGCCACTGTCCACAGTCTCCTCTGCTGGCAATTTTTTCCTGCCAAGTTCCACAGGCCCACCACCACCTTCCCCATGTTCACAGAGCACCTTCTCCAGGACCCTGCCTCTGACCACCTTCTTTGATGGGATGACCATCCCATCCCACCACAAGGCCCTCTGCCCATAATCCTTCCTCCCTGTTAATGTTTCTTTGCATACCTCTTACCACCCTCTCAAAGCTTCTTGTGAGTGAGGAGATACTTTAAAAAAATAATTTATTGTACAATTTGATGGGGGGGGTGCGAAAAATTGGAAGAATCTAATCTGGAAAATAATGTATTTGAACTTTGTAAATAAATGAGTATCATAAAAAACATACAAAAAATCATTTATTAAAGCACCATGATTGAAAAGAATAGAAGTCCAAAATCTCTGTGTCTTGGTCAGTAAATCATGATAATGGTATACTCTCTGTATCCCATATTGTATACACGGGCCTGAAAGGTGATGGTGTTGTGTTGTGATGTGTCAGCAAACTGACTACAACTCATATTGACTGTATGAACAACTGTTTTGAATCTTGCCCTATCCTGAGCCAACTTTACAAGCTCCAGCATGGTTGAGCGCATTGTTACACTCACTTCTTTGCCAATCTCTCCTGTTGAGGGTCTTCCTCTTTCATACTAGCCTCCACCTTTCCAAGCATAATATCCTTCTCCAAGGACTGGCTTCTTCTGACAATATGGCCAAAGTACGTGAGACGAGTTTTACTATCCTTGCTTCCAAGGAGCACCCTGATTTTACTTTCCCCAGAACAGCCAATACAGTAATTCTCAAACCTGAATTAGCAGCAATATTATCTGGTTAACTTGCAAAATGACTGATGTCATTTTGTATGAACTCTGATATGCCCCTAGAGTTTCAGATTTAGAAACTCTGAGTCCTAGGGTGGTACAAATGGTTCGTGAACTCAGCTGCTAACCAAAAAGGCTGGCATTTGGATCCTCACAGAGGTGTTTTGAAAAAAAAAAATCTTAACAATTGGCTTCCAAAAAAATTCAGTCATTGAAAATCCTATTGAGCATAGTTCTTTTTTGACCCACAGGGGATTGCTAAGAGATAAACTCTATAGCACCTGAGGGCAGTAGTCCTTAGAATTTTAAACATGTCCCTAGGTGAGGCTAATGCTGCAAAGTGCTGGTCCACACCCATTTTGCTGGTAGACCTATTTTTTATTCTCTGCAGATTAAAAGTAGTAAGTGTTTTCCTCACGTCAAACTCTTACTCACCTGGTTTCTTTCCCCAGGGAAAGGAAGGACATGATGAGATGGAGGGCCGCTGGAAAGGCATTCTCGCCTTGCTGGCCATCCTGACTGGACTAACAGGTAAGGCTGATGGGGGCTGGTGGAATGTTCTTCAGGTAGGCGTCTAAGAGAGTCCAGAAGAGACAACCCAGGCAGAGAGCTGGCTCGTGACATTCCTTTCCATTGACAGTCTCTTTAATGGTGTCCAGTTGCTGCTGTTCTGACTCACCTTCATGAGTGATCCTTTGGGAACACCTGAGACTCACTCCCACTCCCCCTAATCAGACTCTTTCGGTTTCTGGGAATCTGTCTTTGATATTTTTCCTCAAGTTATTCCTCTTGTTGAAATAATCCCTACCCCCTCATTGCCTAATTTTTAAAGGTTACTTTAATATCTTTTAAAAGTTTTAAATTTTATTTTGGGTGAAAGTACATGGAGTGAAACATATTCTACTGAAGATTTCTGCACAACATAGTTAATTACCTGTGGTTCCATTCTTCACAATGTCGACTTTCGCATTATGTCCATTCTAGTCGGTCCATTCTCATTTGCTTGGTCTTACTGCCTCCCAACTTCTCATCTGTGCTTTAGAGTAACTGTCATCCATTTCATCTCATATGGACAATTTTTTAAAGAAGAATGTACCTAACAGTGACATTCTTTGTTTTTCTCTGCTATTAAGAGTTGACTTGACTGCATTGGAACAGATGAAGGAAAGAACTGTTTAAAAGGAATATATGATTAGGCATTATCTGTACAGCAACAGTCCATAATAAGAAGTGCATAGCAAAGTAGACTAGGAGAGGGGTGGAGGTGAGGAGGGAAGAAATTATGCATTTAAAGTGAACTGGGGAGTAGAGAGGAAAATGTGCAACAATGAATAAATCAAAACCCAACTTTTCTGTAAAATTTCCTTAAAATAATAATAAAAAAATTAAAAAAGAGTTTACTTCAGGGGATAATTTCTATTCTATGTTTGAAGGGTCTCTTAAGACAATATTCCTGGGGACTGCTCCAGAGTCAGTGAATCCAGTAAAGCCTAGATTCCTTGTGAATTTGGAGTTCTGGGCCACATTTTATCCCCCCTTTACTGTCAGAATGAGCTTAATTTTACTTTGATCAGAATATTTGGTAGTAGGCACCTAACTCTTCCGGTCTCAATGTAGAGGACGTCAGAGTACATGTATAGAATGTTAGTCTGATTCCTTTTTTTGATTCTCAGATTTCCTTCTGGTTCCTCCTCTCCAGATGAATAGAGATCGACAGTTATCTCAAATTGCTATTCTCAAGCTTTTAAGACCCCCAGCACTACTTATCAAACCAAGATGCAGAGCATAAATTTTATAATCTATAGTATGCGAATTGACGGAATTCTTTTATGAGATCGTGACTCTTTTAAGTGTTCAAATCAAGATACATAATGTCTAATTGTTCATATCTAAGAAACTTCAGCATCTGTAGGCCCTATGTGCATGTGTGTGTTTTGTTTTGCTTGGTGAGGTAGTGAATTATATGTTAGACTGTTAATTGAAAGATTGACAGTTAGAATCCACCAGTTTCTCTGAGAGAGAAAGATGAGTAGTCTTGCAGGCTTACCCTGGGTCAGAATTGACTTGTTTGATGGTAGTGCATTTGGGTTTTGGTTCGATAGCTTTGTGTTCGAGTATCTATATTGTATAATGCACATATTGTTGTTGTGCGCTGTCCAGTCAGAACTTGACCCTTCCAGTGGGGATCAGCCTCTAAAAAAAAGACTTTAAAATCACTTGAGAGGAGATTGCTCATCTTTCTTTTGTGGAGCTGCTGGGGGATTAAAATTTTAGGGTGTTTTAGGATTGGCAGTACAACTTCTTACCACAAGGCTGTCAGTTGTTGTAATTATTGTTAGATCCCACGGAGTCGACGACAACCCACAGCATCTCTGTGAACAATGGATCTCTGCCGTGCCCTATCCTCATCTTCATCATCTCTGATATACTCGAGCCAATTGTTATTATCACTGTGCCAATCTGTGACGTTTAGAGTCTTCCCCTCCTTCGGTGACTTTCCACTTTTCTTAATATGATTTCTTTTTTTCTCCAAGGACTGGTCCCTCCTATCAATGTGATCAAAATATTGAAAAGAAGTTTCATATATAGGTTGTGTGGTTGTTGTGTGCTGTGTAGCGTTGAAGTTGACCCATAGCTGACCCTCCAGCAGCTTTTTAGAGCCTGCCAGTTGCATAGGAGAAGACGCCCATCTTTCTCCTAAGGAGAGTTAGTGGGTTCCAACCGCCTGCCTTTGAGTTGGCAGCACAACTTATTACCCAATAAGCCGCCAGAAATCCTATGTGTGTGTGTGAGTATATATATATATTTATGATTATTGCATAATTATATACAACAGAACATTTGCCAGTGTAAATGACATCTTTTTTTTTTTACATCTTTTTCTTACGTACTTTTCAGAGCCATCTGTATTAGTCAAGCTGTCTCTGCTTCATCACATTTGAAGCCATTTTTCACATAACTAGAAACAAAGACTCTCTAGAGAGTGGGTTCTCCTCCACCGTGGTCCTACTCCCAGCAATCATCAATGAAATGTAGTTCATTTAAAAAAATTATTTTAATTCATTTTAATGAACAGAAATTTTGAATTTCCATTCATTCATTGTTGCACTTTTCTCCCTACCCACCCCTCTCTCCCAGTTTGCTCTTCTCTTTGAAAAGTAAAAGAAAAATTCCTTCATTTGTATACAATCCCCCCGCCCTGAGTACACTCAACTAAGCAACCTTCATTCTGGACTCTTGTGATAACCATGATACCCTATGAAATGTAGTTCTTTGTATAGACCTTGTCTTGCTATTTTATAAAAATGAGACAAACTTTGTCCTTTTGTGTTTAATTTTTTTTTAAACATGATGTCCTCCAGGTTTATCCATGGTACAAAAGGCTTCAGAAATGATTTTTTTATTTTTTTTTACTACATAGTATGCTATTTTATGTGACAGTTTGTTTGTCTATTAATCTCTTGATGAGTGATTAGGTTGTTTCTATCTTACCGTAGTGGATAATGCTGCAATGGTCATAAATGCGCATGTGTCAGATTGATAGACTGTTGGATTTCTACTAGTCACTTCCTTAATTTCTAGTTCACCTTTAAGATGACTGAGCTCAGAAATCATGTTCTCCCTGGAACTTTGCTGACCCTTGCAGTTTTCATGGTGGAAATTCCAGTTATTAGATACTGGGAGAGTAAGGGCCCTGCTAACTCTGTGTGGTCCCCTCTACTCCTCACTACAACTCTTTCTAGATCCCTCTCCATGGCAGAGTCTCCCCATCAGACTCAACTTTAAGAGGAAGGAGCATAGCACTACAGGATCCTTAGTGTGGATAGAATTGTATCTCCCAAGAACATGTCTTATGAATTCAAACTCCTATACCTCTCATATAGAAATAAGGAGGGTTTTTTTAATAAGGACTTATTAATAAGGTTGTATTTTAAACCTAATGACTTTTAAGATATAAAAGAGGCAAATCAAGCACAAAGCAAAGCACAGAAGGCGTGAAAGTGGTATTTAAGGAGGGAAGGGGATGAGTGGGGATAGACATCATGAGGAGAACGCCAAGGAACCATAGAATGAGAGTGTGACAAAAGCCTGCCATTAGAGCAGCTGCCTTGGATTTAGACTTCTGGTCTTCTGAACTGTGAGAAAACACAGCTCTGTTCTTTCAAACCACCCACTTGTGGTATTTCTGTTACTACTAATAAATAGGCTAAGTTACCTCCAGTACCTGAAGTTTGTACGACCTGCTTTGCTTTAACTATGACTTGCCTTTCTTGAACTATATCTTGTCACTGATTCAGGTGTCTTGTCTGACCAACTAGATGATAAACCCATCAGGGGTGGTATATGATCTGTGTTTTCAGCTTGGTATTTCAAGTACAACATACATTCGGGAATGTACACATATGTCTTAACAGTGCAACTTGATGAATTTCCATGAACTGAACCACCAAAGAGGTGTGGCCTTTCGTTTTATCACTGTGACTGTTTAAGGACTAGGCCACAGGAGTTCAAGTTGATGAGAACGTGGGAAATGAATGATGATGATGATGGCATCCTATGAGGAGTTCAGCCAATATCACTAAACTGAGGAATACTGAGATGGCAAATGCTTTATAACTTGCTGATTTACAGAAGAACATTCTTGGAAGTGGATAATGCTTAGAAGGGAATCAACGTAGAGAACAGAGGCCAGGATCTGGTGTTGGGTGATACCACGGCTGGAGGCTAGATTGTTGATATTCCTGGGGCACCCCAAGGTGGAGTGGGAAACTACACCCTGATCTCTCCAATGCTCTGGCCGCTGATTTGTTTGCATGTTATACAAAATGAAAAAAGGGGAAAGGGAAAAAAGGTTCTGAGTCATTGTAGTTGGTTGTTTGATTAAAGGCCATGGTCTGTGTTTGTTCTCTGTGGGGTAGCATTGTACACAGCAGCAGCTGATATGGTATTTTCGAGAAGGGTGACATACCAGGACCTCACGTTACCAGAAATACAGCTTGTGTAACAGCATAAGATTTAACTGGAGGAGAGTTTACTTATGATTGTAACAAACATGGTAGGTAACATAGTCAAAGGACTTGAGAGTTTAGGCTTTGGTTGGAAACTCTAATCTATCTAGAAGTGCCTTGGATTTACTTCTGAATAGCAACCACTGAAAACCCTATGGAGTTCCTGTCTACTCTGACACACAAAGGTTATTATGCATTGGAGTCAACCCCACAACATCTGGGATTTTTGTTTGTTTGTTTGTTTACTTGTTTAATTTAAAAGCAGAACTCACACTTGATTGAAAGAGTTTCCTTTTGGAGGATTTCTTTTCCTCCTTCTCCTTAAAGTCAGTTTCCATCAGTGGAGCTCTAAGGTGCCGGCAAACATTTTGTAACTCCTCGTGTGTTCTATGACACAGTATTTGGGATTTTTAAAAATCCCAGCTTTAGAGTGTAGTGTTGAGGGGTGAAAGAATCCCACTGGTTTTCACAGTGCGAAGAAAGGAACTGTGGGTTCACAGCTTATTATGTTGGCATTGCCTGGCTGGGGCACCTGGGGCTCCCCATATCTGTATTCCTGTGACACAGCCCTGCAGCATTTGGTCTGTTTTCTCTTGTAGGAGCCCTAGTGGTGCAGTCATTAGAACACTTGACTGCTAATTGACAGTTCAGTGGTTTTAATTCACCAGCAGCTCTGAAGGAGAAAAATGTAAAGATTCACAGCCTTAGACACCCTTTGAAACAGTTATGTTCTGTCCTCTGGGGTCATCATGTCTCTGAATTAACTCAAGGGAAAAGGATTTGGCTGGGATCTGGCCCTCCTGTGGTAGCCAAAGTGGTGAGTAGTAGAGAGAGAAGATTGTTATTACAGTATGGAGCTGAAGAGGTGTCTCAGTCTCTTTTCTCCGGGGTTAGAATTGCTGCGTCTTTTCTTTCCTTCTTCTTCTAAAAAAAAATTCAGAATTCCTGGAAAGGACCATGCTGACCTAGTAGCTGTGACCTTCCTGATGAATCATGTGTGGTTTCTCTTCTTCAGACTTTGAATTTATTTTTAAAATCCCAGATCAATAAAAAAATTATTGGATGAAGTTAATTTGCTTGAGTATAGGAGAGAAGACCTAATCTGATTTTTTTCCAGTTTAGATGTTTTTTTCTATCATGTCTCAAAGCAAAGCAGAATAATAATCATGCTTCCTTAAACACTGGATTGTTGTCAGCTTCCTTCCTGTCAAATCCTGATTCACAGGGTCTATACTCTGGTTTTGAGGATCAGTAGAGTTTCATGGTTGACTTTCAGAAGTTAATAGTCAAATATTTCTGCATAGTTGTGTGCCACCGAATACCCAAGGGTCCACTGACTTAAGGATGCTGGTTATGCATGGAGTACATTGGCAAGAAGTTGAGAAGGTGATATTCCTCCCATTGAACCACCACTGCCAATCAAAGAGACTGGATTAGGCTTCCTTATCAATCTCGGCAGTTTCTCCTATCCCTGCTGGTTCCTGGCCCTGTGCTGTGCAGTGGTTAATTCTACTGATAGGTTCTGGCAAAACATTCTGGGTAACCAGGTGAAAGGCTAATGGATATCAACTTGATCCCTCCCCAGAAATCTTTAGTGCTATTATGAAATTCTTATAGAATCTTTCTAGTAGCTTGAACTATCTAAATTAGGAAAGCAGAGGGAATTGGTAGTTACGTAGGAGCATACTTCTGCTTATGCAGTGTGATTACTAGTATATTTGAGTCTGTTCTCAGCTGCTATTGTGTCTTGTTGCTGTTACGTGCAATTACGTTGGAACTGACACATAGCTAACTCCCCAGTGAGTTTTCAGGGGTTGTAAAATGCATGGGAAGAGATTGCCTATCTTTCTCCTGATGGGCAGCTAGTGAATTTGAACCATTTGCCTATGGGTTGGCAGCACCAACTCCTTAGATCTAGGCTACCAGAGTCCCTCATATCTAGAGGATAGATTATATTGGACCATGTTTTGTTGTGATCACTTCTGATTTTCAGAAGTAGATTGTCAGAACTTTCTTCCTAGTTTGTCTTAGCCTGGAAGATTTATTGACATCTGTCCACCATGGTAACCTGGCTGGTATTTAAAACATGGTGGAATAGCTTTCCAGCATCACAATAAACACAAGTTGCATAGTAGAAATGGAGACAATGGAATAGATAGGATGACATTAAGGTGATTTATTTTCCATTAGAAACTCCTGTTCTGCTGGTGGGAGACCTGATGTTGGACCAGTAAGATATGGAATTTGGCACTCTGGATGGAATTTCAGGAGGCTTCCACCTAGTCAACACAGAAGGGTTAAGTTGTCCAACTGATTTATCTAGACTCATTCACTTATTGTCATGAAATGTTTGCCTTCTAGCTTCTGGATCCAGCTACAGAATCCTTGAAGGGCCCAAGAATGTAACAGTGTTGGAGGGCTCGGAGGCCCGCTTCAACTGCACTGTGTCACAGGGCTGGAGGCTCATCATGTGGGCGCTGAATGACACCGTGGTTCTGAGTCTCACCCCCACAGAGCCCATTATCACAAACAACCACTTCACCTCTGCCAGTTATGAGGTGGAAGGCAACTTCGTGTCTGAGATGATCATTCATGATGTGCAGCTCAACGATACTGGACGCATCAAATGCAGCCTTCAGAACAGTGCCCAGGACGGCTCTGCATTCCTTTCCGTTGAGGGTAAGTGCGTGTGTAGGTGGATCCACAAAGTGGGGCATCTGCAGGCCATTGTGTTAGGTGTCAGTGGACTTCAGAAGTTCATGTCGTACTTGATGAATGATATTGCCTCTCTTCTGGTTGATGTTGGCTTCAAATTAGGCTGCTTTGAGTAATGTCTATTGCTTCATTGTTGTCTTTTCTCATTTCTCCTTCTCTTCCTTTTCTCTTAAGACTCTTAAAAAAGGTTGTTCTCATTTCCTCACTTTGTCTACGTAAATGTCTAAAGTCCTTTCTAAATATATGATTGCGAATTCTTTCAGTGCAAATTACAGTCATTTCACTTCACTTTAGAGTTTCTGGGCACTGCAAATGGCTAACACACTTGGCTGCTAATCTGAGCATTGGAAGTTGGATGGACCTTGGAAAACAGACCTAATGATGTTTCTGCTATAGAAATCTGCCATTGAAAATCTCCATAAGCATAGCTCTAATCTGACTCATGTGAGGTAGCCATGAATGGAGCTATTGGATGGGGGCTGGCTTCCTTTGATTTAGGTTGGGGTGACATTCATGTCACCTTCTCTGATTTTGCACACGCTGTTCTTAACTAAATATGTCTACCCTACGTCACTTACCACTTTTGAAATATACCTTTGAAGTAATACTTGATTCTTCCTAACTAAACTTAGCCAATTTATTTCCCCACCTTCAGCTGTTCTTATAACCAAATGTGTGTATTCACTGAGCATATCATGTCTTTCAGAGAAAGAGAAGATTATATAAAATTATTTGTTGTTATTGTTATGTGCTGTATGGTCAACTATGACTCATATCCACCCTATGAATAGCAGATTGGAACCTTGCCCTATCCTGCATCATCCTCAGAGTGATGCATAATTGACTTTTGTGTCTTTAATGTTAATTTTGAGCTATTGAAAGTCATGTTACCTAGTAGGGGTGGAGGAAGAGAAAAAAATCTTTACAAAGATTCTGTGTATTATTGTTACCATGAGATCAATGCCCTAGTGCCCTTCTTGTATAGACAAAAGAACTGTACCAGGCGCAAGAGACTAGAGGAGAGGATGGTGCCCTGAGTACCAAGGGAGTACAGTGGACAGCAATTTTAGTGTTTCTTGGGAGGGCAGATTTTAGTGCAAGGAGCATTAAAGTGCAAGTCAAAGATTTTTTATTAGAGAGCAGGGATGAGAAGAAATAAAAGAGGAAGCATAAGTGAAGGTAAAATAGTAAAAATAGATTTATTAGAAAGTTATAGCCCCAAAGGTAGGGACCTCCCTCCCTAAGAAGAAATAAGGGGAGGCAGTGTGCTAGTGAGGTGAGGCTGGATTTATGGCCTCCTCTGGGTAGGCCTTGGGGCTGGAGTCTGGACCAATGAGACGATGCCATGGAGAGTTCAAAGTTTAGTGGGTTGCCTGTTCTCTGACATCATTCATGCCCACAAAGCATCCACTGCTTCTGACATCACTTGTGCGCTCAAAGCACTAATTCTATGCATGTCTGTATTGCCTTCCGGATCCTGATAGCTCAGTTTTTCCAAGCATAAACTTCTGCTTTTTATTTTCTTGATTCTAATTCTAACATTCTTCTTAAAGTTTAATGTGTTACTTACTTTCTTTAGAAGTATATTTATATGTAACTGATACATGTATTGATGACAAGAGAGCTCCTGATTTATATGTAACATTCTTATAACATGTATGTAACATGTGTGGTTTTGAATTTTTCTCACCTATTTGCTATCTCAGAGAAACTCTACTGATTCAGCCTGCATTTGTGGATACATTTTATGTGCATTTTTTTATGATCTTTACTTTAGACATTCAGTGAAATTGCCATGTTTTTAATTTTGTGTGATTTAAGTAGATGTCTCAGCTAATAGTGCTATAACAGAAATACCACAAGGGCTTGCTTTTAATAAACAGATATTTATTTTGTCACAGTTTAGGAGGTTAGGAGTTTGAATTCATGGTATTAGCACTAGGGGAAGGCTTTTTCTCTGTTGTTTCAGTTTAGGAGAAATATGCTCATCTCCTTTCAATGTCTATCACACTGGAATTCCTTGTAATGACATGTTTTGCCATTTCCCCCTGGATCAAGGAGCTTCCCTTTGTAGGAATCTGGGTCTAAAAGACACCTTCCTCTCCTGGACCTTCTTTCTTAGAAATGTTATAGTCCCTTCCTCTCATTATAGTTCTTTCTCCTTTTATTATTCTAAGATAAAAGATGTTGCAAACCCTACATCAGAGACATTCCCATTACATCAGGGCTATAATGGGATTAAGAGTGTTACTTATATAACTGATTATCTTATCAGAACATACAAGATTATTACATGACATTAAATTATATCTTTACATCCAAAACAGAGAATCATGGGATAGTCAAGTAAACATATAATTTAGAGGGACACAATGCAATTCATAACAATAAGGATACAATAATAATTTATAAATAATAAGTGACTTTATGAGGCTAATTCAAGCTTTGAGTACAATACAGAGAAATACAATGGGCAAAATATTGAATGATCCAAGAAGCATTAAAAGAAGATGGAAAGAATACATAGAATGACTGCACCAAAAAGAATTGGTCAATACTGATATATTTTAAAAAGTATTGCAAGATTAAAAGCCAGTGGTGATGAAGGAAGACGTTCAATTTGCACAGAAGGCATTGGACAAAGAACCCAGGAATCTATGGGATACAAATTGGCATGTTTCAGTTAATAGATGCAGCCACGGACGTGCTAACCACTCTGTGCCAGTACCAGGAAATTTGGAAGACAGCTTCCTGGTCAACTGACTGGAAGAGCTCATATTGGCTCCATTCCCAAGAAAAGCGATCAGACAGAGTGTGGAAACTACCAAACAATATCACTAATGTAACATGTAAGCAAAATATTGCGGAAGATCATACAAAAATCGTTAGGACAGAACATAGATAACTGCCAAAATTTCTAGCTGGGTTTAGAAGAGGTCATAGTACCTGGGATAGCATTGCTGATGTCAGATGCATCCTGGATGAAAGCAGAAGATACCAGAAGAATGTCTATTTGTGCACTATTGACTGTTTGAAGACATTTGACTATGTGGATCATAACAAATGATGGCTAACATTGAGAAGAATGGGAATCTTAGAGCACTTAATTGTGCTCATGTGAAACCTAAACCTAGACCAAGAGGATATTGTGGGACTACAGAAAGGGAGCACAATGTGGTTTAAATTAAGAAAGGTGCATGTTAGGGTTGTATTCTTTGTTCATACCTATTCAATCTGATGCTGAGCAAATCACTGGAGAAGCTGAACTTTGAAGGAGATTGTGGCATCTGGACTGGAGGAAGACACGCATCTGTGTTATGCAGATAATACAACATTGCTTGCTGAAAGTGAGGAAGACTTGAAGCACTTGCGGAAGAACTTTAAAGAATCCAGTCTTCAATATGGATCACATTTAACATCCAAGAAAAAAAGTTCTCACCATAAACTAATACGCAAAATCATGACAGATGGAGAAAAGACTGAAACTGTTATCTTTGTCTTACTTGAAATCTTGATTCTTGTAGTCAGGAGATCAGAGGGGAAGTATGCAACCGGGGAACTCTCAAACTTCCTGAAGAGCAATGCTATGCTTCTAACATAACAAATGTGTCATTCCACTTGGTTTCGTAGCTTTGTTTCCCACAGTCATAGATCTAAAAGTCACATAAGCAGTTTAATGTAGCTTTTAATATGAGGGTTAATATTATATTGGAGTCAGAAAATCAAAAGGAACGAACTCCCTCAGCATAACTTAAGCTCAAGGAACTGAAGAACAAATTCAAACCTCGAGTTGCTATAATCAAGGATGCTTTCAGCAGAATGTTAAATAATCCAGGAAGTATTAAAAGAAGATGGAAGGAATATACTGAGTCACTGTATCGAAAGGAATTGGAATACACAGAAGAATTTCATGAAACAACATATGAGCAAGAGCCTATGGTGATGAAGGAGGAAGTTCAGGCTGTTTTGAAGGAAATGGCAAAGAATAAGGCTCCAGGGATAGATGGTATACCAATTGACATATTTCAGTTAACAGATGCTGCCCTGGACGTGCTCACCAAGTTGTGCCAAGAAATCTGGAGAACGACCATTTGGCCAACTGACTGGAAGAGATCGATATTTGTTCCTATTCCAAAGAAAGGTGACCCAACAGAATGTGGAAACTACAGAACAATCTCACTGATTTCACATGCAAGCAAGATTTTACTGAAGATTATCCGAAAACGACTGGAACAGCACATCAACAGAGAACTACCAGAAGTCCAGGCTGGGTTTAGAAGGGGTCGTGGTACTAGAGATATTGTAGCTGATGTTAGATGGATCTTGGCTGAAAGCAGGGAATACCAGAGGAATGTCTATCTGTGTTTCATTGACTATGCAAAGGCATTTGACTGTGTAGATCATAACAAACTATGGCTGACTCTGAGAAGAATGGGAATCCCAGAACACTTGATTGTTCTAATGTGAAACTTATACTTGGACCAGGAGGCAGTCGTCAGAACAGAGCAAGGGAACACTGCATGGTTCAAAATTGGGAAGGGCGTAAGCCAGGGATGCATCCTATCTCCATACCTTTTCAACCTATATGCAGAACAGATTATCTGGGAGGCTGGGCTCTATGAGGAGAAACGTGGGGTCAAGATTGGTGGACGATTTATCAACAATCTGCATTATGCGGATGACACAACCCTGCTTGCTGAAACTGAAGAGGACCTGAAGCACCTGCTGCAGAGTGTCAAGGACTGCAGCCTACAATATGGATTGAGGCTCAATGTCAAGAAGACAAAGATTCTCACCACTGGACCAATTGGCAGCATCAGGATGGATGGTGAAGAGATTGAGATTGTACACAGCTTTAGGTTGCTTGGCTCCATAGTCAATAATCTTGGCACCAGCAGCCAGGAAATTAAAAGGCGCATTGCCATGGGAAAGTCTGCTGTTAGCGACCTCTCCAAAGTACTGAAGAGCAATGGTGTCTCTCTGGAGACTAAGGTGCGTCTGATACAGGCCATGGTCTTCGCAATCACTTGTTATGCATCAGAGAGTTAGACAATGACCAGGGAGGATAGAAGGAGAATTGATGCCTTTGAGCTGTGGTGCTGGAGAAGAGTATTGAGAATACCATGGACTGCTAGGAAAACAAACAGATTTGTCCTGGAAAGGGTTAGACCGGGTGGCTCCTTGGAGGCAAAGATTCTGAGCCTCCGTCTAACATAGTTTGGACATGTTGTATGGTGGGACCGGTCCCTGGAGAGGGATATCATGCTTGGGAGGGTGGAGGGACAGCGCAGGAGAGGAAGGTCCTCTATGAGGTAGATTGATTCAGTGACTGGGATAATTGGGATGGGAGTGTCAGAGACAGTGCGATTGGCACAGGACAGAGCGGAGTTTAGGGCTGTTGTACACAGGGTCGCTATGAGTCGCAAGCGACTCGATGGCACATAACAACAACAACAACAACAACAACAACTTTTAGTGTAAAGAGCTTTGTTTGCATAGTGCTTTACTGAAGGTCAGAAGTTGGAATACATCAGCCAATCTGTGGGGCAAAGATGTGCAGTCTTGTTCTGTAAAGATTTACATCCTCTGAAACCAGCAAGAGTCACTTTATGAGCCGGAATCACTTGATGACAGCAGTGAGTGTGGTTTGGCTTTCCTTTTGCGTTTAGTGCAGGTGGAAGGCCAAGTAGCTGGGAAGTGAAAGAGCTCTTAAGGCTCCACAGGGAAAAAAAAAACTTACAGTAGGTGATAGTCTCTTAGTGGAATACAGAGACAGTAGTATTTTTATCAAGAAAAACCCAATTTTGAAAGGGTAAGAAACTCTTTTATGAATAATAAAACATTTCTTTTGAAAATGGATCACCCAAAGCTTATTTCCTCCCACAAAGTATCAACAAATAAAATTATGAATTTACATAACTCCAAGTTGAACCATTCAAAATCTATTTGAAAATTCATGCCATTACCTTTGAATGAAGTGTTTGTTTGAAATCTTGGTTGAAGGTTGTGCATTCCAGAAAAACATGTTTTATTGACTCTAAAAAGATATTTGACTAGGTGGATCATAATAAATTATAGAAGATATTGAAAAAGAATTGGAATCCAGACACTTAATTGTGGTCATGTGAAAGCTGAACATAGACAAAAGGCAGTCATTCGGATAGAAGAAAGGGTTACTGCACAGTTTAAAGACAGGAAAGGTGTGCACCAGGGCTATATCCTTTTGCAATAGTTATTCAGTCTTTTTCAAAGCAAATATTCATAGAAGCTGGACTATCTGAAGAAGAATGAAGTGTCAGGATTGGAAAAAAGACCCATTAAGCACCTGAGATATGAAGATGATACAACCTTGCTTTTGGAAAGCAAAGAGGACTCAGAGCACTTACTGATGTAGATCAAAGAGTGCAGTATGGATTGCCCTTGAACATAAAGAAAGCAAAATCCTAGGGAGCTCTGGTGGCCTAGTGGCAAGACGCTGCACTGCAATCCCAGAGGTATGCAGTTCAAATCCACCAGATGCTCTGCTGGAGAAGGAGGGGGCTATCTCCTCCTGTACCCGTCAGATCTGATTTGATGGTACACATAAAAATAATACAATAAAAAAATAAAAAAAAGAAAGCAAAATCCTTGCAACTGGACCAATAAACAGCATCATGATAAACTGTGAAGAGGTTTAAGTTCAACGCAAGGATTTAATTTTACTTGAACACATGACCAATGCCTATGGAAACAGTGGGCAAGAAATCAAAAGATGTTTTGTGCTGGAAACAGCTGGTGCTGCCAAGGACTTCTATAAAGTGTCAACTCACTTTGAGCACTCAGTGCACCTGGCAGAGTTAAAGACAGACAATGAATAAAAAAAGAATTGGTGTCTTTGTATTATGTGTTTACAAAATGTGTTGAATATAATCTGGATTGTTAGAATAATGAACCTTTTCTGATCCATCTAATGCTGGAGAAGGCCTTGGTGGGGAGGAGGTTAAAGACAAATGCAGTCCCTGGATGGTGCAACAATTAATTTGCTCAGCTGCAAACTTAGTAGTTTGAGCTCACCAAGTCACTCCAGAAGAAATACCTGACAATCTACTTCTGAAAAATCAATCATTGAAAACTCGAGACCACTATGTGTGTCCTGTTCTGACACACAGAAATATCATAAATCTGGGTTAGTTCAGTGTTAGCTAGAATTTCCTCCAGACCCTTCCAGGGTGTTCCACAATGTCAAAAATTTTCATAAAAATACTAAGATGCCTCCACCAGATGCTCTGCCGGGAAAGGAGGGACTATCTCCTCCTGTACCAGTCACATCTGATTTGACGGTACACTCACACACAAGTAATAAAATAAAAATGTAAAAAACAAAACAAAACTAAGATGCCACTTGTCCTTTTCATTTGCATTCACACCAGTCCAAGAGGAATTTTCTAGTCTACATTAGGAAGATCTACACAACCCAGTGAACTGACTCACTAAAGATACAAAATCATGCAAATGTCAGAGATTCTTTCAAGTTATCAGTTACAGCTATGGGCAGTCCAAAATTTTTGTAACTAACTCCTCCACAGTAATTGTGCACCCCGGTGTGTTTCTCTGCTTTCTCTTACATGTTCCATTAGTTCCCCCTTAACCTGATCGCTCACTTCTTCACTTGGTAATTATATATTTTGCTTTCATTAAACATCCTCACCTTCTTTAGGGAAGTTGTTGTTGTTGTATACCAGTGAGTTGGGACTGACTCACAGCCAGCCCTCTCAATGGGTTTTTAGAGACAATTTATCACTCAGGAGGAAATGGCTCATCTTTCTCCTTGGAGCAGCTGGTGGATTTGAACTGCATGCCTTTAGGTTGGCTGTGCTCCCAGCAAAGTTATTGGATAAAAATAAAGGCACAAGTACAACTTGAATTAGGATTTACCAATTACCATCAAAGCCTCTTTCAGTTTGGGAAGTGACTCTCATGAAATGTGATTTGAAGTAAACCTTAAAGGATGGGGCTGGGGGAAAGAACACTTGGACTGAGGGGGGTTATCATTTATTCAGAGTGTTTCTTCCCCCACCCCACCAGTTTAGCTGTGGGAGTAGTGTCTGTTCCCAGCGGTTCCGCTCTCTTCAGCATGTTTCTCTCTTTTCTTCTGTAGTTCTGGGAACGTTGCACATTCCCACTGGCAGCCTTGTAGTCACTGAGGCTGAGCCCTGTAATGTTACTTGTCACGCGGTGGGCTGGATCCCACTCCCAGATATTACCTGGCAGGTTCACGTTCCTGTAAGCCAGTCCAGCTATTTCTCCTTCCCGGGGCCTGAGGACCATCAAAGTGCAGTGAGCATCCTCTCTCTCACGCCACAAGGCAATGGGACTCTGACTTGTGTGGCTACGGCGAAGGGTCTGCATGCTTACAAGTCTGACACCGTAAACCTTACTGTGATTGCACCTCCCCTGGGTAAGTGACGTCTTCTTGCTTTCTATACGTTTATGTCATGCTTGTATCTTACATGTCATGCTGCTTTAAGAGATAAGGCAGAGGAAAATCATACAGTGACGTTGACTTCAGGCAGGGGTTGATGAGGAAGGGCAGTGACCTGTACTATTTCAGCTTAATGACTCTGTAATTATGCCTGCTTTTAAAAAATCATTTCTAGTTCCAGTTCCGGTGGGGCTGACGTCGTTAAGTTTGTTCAGTTGTCGCTGTTGGTGGGCAAAAAATACAGCCAAGATGCTGCGGAATCTGCTGGCTCTTCGTCAAATTACCCAGAGGACCATAAGTACTGCTTCACGCAGACAGTTTGAAAATAAAGTTCGAGAAAAACAAAAGCTGTTTCAGGAGGATAATGGAATTCCAGTGTATCTAAAGGGTGGGATAGCTGATGCCCTCCTGTATAGAGCCACCATGCTTCTTACAGTTGGCGGAACAGTATATGCCATATATCAGATGGCTGTGGCTTCGTTTCCCAAGAAGCAGGATTGACTTCAAATTATCATCCCAGCTCTGGCTTCAGTTTCATTCCGTGCCCTATGGACCAGTAATCTAATCAAAAGAGCTCTTCTTTGGGGATCACTATTGACTTGCACTAACTGTCACCAATAAAGCAGTCTTTACCATGAAAAAAAAATCATTTCTTTCCATTCTGCTTACATATACAAACCATAAAGACTCTTGCCAGTTATTTAACATAAACCAGCATCATGTTTAGGGACAAGCAGTTGGACGAGAATATTTTTCTCAGGTTTTTGATCCATTATTCTAATTTCATCCAATCCTGTAGGGCAACTTGGAGCAAGTCTTTTTAATATTTGAGGAAGAGTCTTAGATATTCTTGGCTTCCTTCCAATTCTTATGGAACTGGGAGGTTTCCCACAATATATTTGGAAGTACCAACTTTATTTTCTTTTTGACTTTTCTGAAGAACACGTTTAAAATTTGTTGTTGGTTTTCGATGCCGTATAATGAATGACAGCTCGGAGTGGCCCTATGAACAACAGAAGGAATCCTTGCCTTGTCCTGTCCACCTCACAAGCTCAGCCATGCTCAAGCGCATTGTTGCAGTTACTGCATTAATCCTTCTCTTTGAAGGCCTTCCTCTCTTTTGTTGACCCTCTACTCTTCCCAATGTATTAAAGTTTGTTGTTGTTGTTATGTGCCGTCGAGTCACTTGCGACTCATAGCGACCCTATGTACAACAGCCCTAAACCCTGCTCTATCCTGTGCCAATCGCACTGCCTCTGACACACCCATCCCGATTACCCTCATAGAGGGTCTTCCCCTCCTGCGCCGTCCCTCCACCCTTCCAAGCATGATGTCCCTCTCCGAGGACCTTTCCCTCCTTGCAACATGTAAGTTTACAATATTAAAGTTTAGGTCCCCAAAAGATCTGCATTGGAGGCTTTGACATAATGAAAATATCTATTCAGATTGCCTGTAGAGCCTGCTGAGCTGAATCTTCCTACATCACCTAGGAAACAGGGCTACTACCCGAAAGGACAGCATTTGATTTTACCTAGGAAACAGATATATCTCAAAATAATTGAGGAGCACCGATGTCAGTTTGAGGACTGACGTGTATGTGATTCAGGCTATGGTGTTTATGATTACTTGCTATCATCTGAGAGCTAGACTATGAATAAAGGATGACAGAAAAAGAATTGATGTCTGTCTATGAGCTGTGATATTGGAGAAGTGCACTGAACATCCCCTGGGTTGCCAAAAGAACAAACAAATATTTCTTGGAGAAGATGCAGCCAGAGTGCTCCTTAGAGGCAAAGATGATAAAACTTCATTTCCCATACTTTAGGCATGTTGCCAGCAGAGGAAACATCGTGCTTGGGGAAGGCAGAGGCTCAGCGACAGAGAGGAAGATGGATTGATACAGTGACTACTTCAATGAGCTCGAGTGTGTCAGAAAGTGTGACGATTAGGACAAATACTGCATGGTGCCATTGTTGTAAAGCATGACTGAGCTTGGGGTTGGGAAGAGACTGAGAAGGATGGGTTCAATAATGTATACTGCATTGAAACAGAAGAGGGAGAAAACTGTTTAAGAGGGAAAATTATTAGGTATTTTTTTTCATGACAGGAGTCCAGAGTGAAGGCTGCATAGTGGAGTGGACCTCAGGGAAGGGATTGTGAAACAATGAAAGAATTTTTTCTTTTACTTTTCAAAGAGGGGAGTGTACTTGGGGAGAGGGTTGGGAGGGGAGAAAAGTGCAGCAATGAAAGAATGGAAACCCAAAGTCTCTATAAATTTTCATTGAAATTAATAATAAATTTTTAAAAATGTGAGGATAACATAGGATAGGACAGGGTCTGATCTGCTCATAGAGTTGCAATGGAAAATACTTGACTCAGTGGCACCTCACAACAACTGGGGGCCTGGGAGTGAGGTCTCAAGAGTGAATTAACTCCTTCACCCTTCAAAATAAGAAGTAGCTTGATGCCCTGAGTCATACAACTGGGTAGGGAAGAGCTGGACCTAGAAGCTAGGAAGGTCATTTCTAGTGATCCAAGCCTTTTTCTACTTCAGTACATATTTACTTAAGACATGTACAGGATTGGATAAAGCTACAGCAGTCAAATACAGCTGATTATTACTCAGTGATCTTACATGCTATACAATTACCTCTGACTAGGACAATTTCCTCAAGCTATCAATGCATAACCTTTCTTTGGGGTTTATGTTTAAGGACACCTTGTTTAATATACTGTACTGATGAATTCCCACTGCATTCACAGCTGATAGCACTACAGCTCACGCTGTAGGAAACTTATCCAACACATTTTGTCTCCAAAAGGGACATCACTGTGTTCTTGCACTTAGGAACACTAGGTAACACTTTGAATTATGTTTGGAGCCATCTTAAGAAATAAAATCATTGGCAAAACTCACAAAAAAATACAAAACAACGTAGCACTGAATAGATCATAAGAAGGACGTGTGTTTACGATAGGAGAGCTGAAACCAGAAGGCAGTGTCACCTTGATCTGCCCAGCTGGGAAGGTGCGAGTCATGTGACTCAAACTTCTTAGCACTGTTAGCCACAAGTTGTCTCAAAGTGGATTATGGGAATACGAGTACATTTTTGGTACTGGTTCATATTCATTTATTTGGGATTTATGAACAGTGAGGATTAACAAAAACAACAACAATACTAATTGACACTAAGGACTTTTCATGTATTGACACAGTAACCTTCACAATAGCCCTGGACTCATAATTTAAGGATGGGGAGATAGGGACACAGAGTTTGGAGTTTGCTCATGCTCATTGAGTTAGCAAATGAATGAATGTAGTCCTTGTAATTTGGATCCAGAATATTCCAAAATGTCAACTCTGCCCACCACTGACGTGCAGTGTAAATGGTATTTAAACAGCGTAGCAACGAATCTGTGGGGAAATCTGGTGGCCTGGTCTGTAGAGAGTTGTGCTGCTAACCCAAAGGTGGCGCCTCTCTGGTAGTTTGAATCTACCAACAGCTGTGAGGGGAAAAGAAGACAATCTCTTCTCTGGAGATTTATAGCCTTTGAGTCTTGTTACAGGGTGAATTACAATTGGACAACAATAAGAACAAGGGAGGGAGGCAAAGAAAAAGAGATGAATCTGTGAAAACGTAGTCAACATCTAACCTGGTTGTGTTGTCATTGCTGCTGTTGTTGTGGTTACGTGCCATAGAGTCACTTGTGACCCTATGCACAGTAGCTCTGAACCCTACTCTATCTTGAGCAAATGTCATTGTCTCTGACAATCCTACCCCTATTACCTCAGTCACTGAGTAAATTCATCTCATTCAGGGTCTTCCTCTCCTCCCTCCAAGCATGATGTCTTTCTACAAGAACTGGTCTTGTCTGGCAACATGCACAAAGTATGTGAGATGGAGCTTCAAAATCCTTGCCTCCAAAGAGCAGCCTGATTTCACCCTGTCCAAGACAAACTTGTTTGTTCTCTTTGCAGTCTCTGGTATATTCAGTACTCTTTTCTAGCACCACATCTCAAAAGCATCGGTTCTTCTTCTGTCATCCTTAGTCATTGTCCAGTTCTCTGATGCATAGCAAGTAGTTGTGAAGAACATGGCTTCAATCAGGTGCATCTTAGTCTCTAGACTGACATCATTGCGCTTCACTACTATGGAGAGGTCCTTGACAACAGATTTTTCTCAATGCAATTTGTTTTTTCATTTCATAGCTGCTGGTAATAAGAATGTTGATTTTGGAGCCAAACAAATAGAAGCTGTTAATAAACTCAATCTCTTTACTTTCTATCATTATTATACCAATTGTCTCAGTAGTGAGAATCTTTGTTTTCTTGATGTTGATGTTGAGCTTTAATTCATATTGAAAGCTACATACAGTCCTTCACCTTCTGCAGCAAATGCCTCAAGTCCTCCTCAGTTTCAGTGAATGAGATGTCATCTACATGTATACCTTAAACTGTAGGGAATAATCTCATATAACACAAGCTTGTTTCCTCAACGTTGGCCAGCCCGCTTTTCAGACCTACTTATGCTCAAGGAGACCTGCTTACACCGGAGTGAGTGTACAACTGAGGAAACACTTCAGGCAGAAGATGGAGTGAGGAATCTGTAGGGAGCTGGAGGCCACATGTTTTCCTCAGGTAGAAAGGCTGTTGCCAAGGAAATGTTGACGCAGTATCACCAGGTCTTCCAGTTTTTCAAGAGAAGCTGGAAATCTGGATTTTAGGTGAGCTCTCTGGACTTTAAAATGTTGGCAGCTGACCATTTTTTTTTTAAATGCAGTCCAGGAAAAACAGTAGGGTCTTGGCACTGTCCGTTTGCCAAATCCCTCTGTAAAATCTTTTAAAATCTTTTAGCTCAGTTGGTCTTAGGTCTATGGAAACAATAGAAAGATACTTCAGAATCGAGATTTATCGCAAAGAGAATCAGTTTACAATAATTTACCCCCCCTCCCCCGCAAAAGTCAAGAACTTATTC